TTAGGCTAGAGCGAAATGTTAGCAGAAAAACATGTTTCTGCCTGGGCCCGAACCACTTTATGGGGACCGTTTGTAAACGCGATGACCACTACACTACGGAAAGAAATCAGGCTAGGTTTCAAGCGGATTCGACGATCCGCGGATGTATACGTTTCCCATATGTAGAAGTCATCACGTTCGCCTAACACGCAAAAGATTTTTGCTATGTCTCCCGAAAGTATTGTTCATTATAATATGACCCACCGACGTATGCGTTTCTGTAGTGTAGTAGTCATCACGTTCGCATTACACGCAAACGGTCCGCATCGTTTTAAAATTATTATTTATCTAGTTAGTGTTATAGAAATGATTTGAAAATTGGAATTTATTTTTTCTTTTCAATCTTCTTTTTTAATTTTGAGCGGTATCGAGGGTGTTTATTTTTTGCCCTTGCTTTAGGAAAGATCCGAAATTTTGAAACGAACGATTTCATGTCATTTAAACGAAGATACAAAGTGGTAAGGGCGTCGTTTTCAACACTATTTTGCTCTATTCAAGAGCTATTCACTGATAATTGGCCGTATTGGGGCTTACTATCAATTCATCCTCCAAATTAATAATCCGATTTGGCAAAAATGCGCGATTGTATAGCGTGGAGAACTCGGCGGTGAAGTCTATGAAGGGGATTTTAACGTAACATTACATATCAGTGGCTGCCTGCCTATCTTGCCTTGTTCGTAGCAAAATCGGGCAAATAAGCATCCGTAATACGTATTGTACAAAGCTTCCACCAACGCTTAAAACGAGAAAATTAGTAATTATCCAGTTAAGAATGCATATTGAGCCGAACCTGACAATTTTTATTCATTCCGAACCAACTGGATAATTATTGATTTTTTATGATTGTTTCTATCAAATCTTACATTTTGTGTATTAGTGGCGGAAGCTTTGTACAAAAGATTCAATGAGAGTCCCCATAAGATTTGAAAGCACGGTCATGAATATTTCGCTAGCTGACTACAATTTGAGTTGTTAACATGTCCTGACTTCTTTTTATTAATAAAATTGCATTCTTACTAATTCCGGGGATCGGTGAAAAATAAGCCACAAGGCAAACCTACAATTTAAGTTTTTTATGTCCTGACTTCTTCAATTTACTTATTTTTATACTCTGGTGACTCTCCTCTGTCTGGTTTCTGCCACTGACTCAGACTGGATGCAGTCCTTGCAGGTTATATTAACCTGTGGTATCCGACTTTCTTCTTGTGTGTTGCCGGCGCTCTGTCTGATTTGTGGCACTGACCCCGTCCTGCCAACTTCAGTTACTGGCTTCTTGTTTTCCTTATAGTGTTTTTGGGTACTCACTCTGCTTTCTGCCGCTAACCCGGACCTTCCCACTCTGCCTAGTTCACAACTAACTTCCTTCCCGTGTCATGGGGCACTCTGTCTTTCACACCCACTCAGCGCCGAATTAACCATTAAACAATATGAGCACGTGCTTAGGGCACCAAGCAAAGAGGGGCACCACGGAAATTTTAGAGCAGAATTTTATATAGTTTATAGGTGTTTATTAAAATATTACGAGTTCACCAGACGACTCAAACTTCAAAATGTTCGCTTTTTTTTGTCTTCAATTAACCTTCTTCATTGAAAATAAACACTGAAACTTAATTATTGGACACAAAATGGGCCTATGAGTCGTTTTCTTAAATTGTTGTTTTTTCTTCTTAGTATTCTCCTTGTTGCTGCATTTTTGTTTTGGAAAAATGTCTTTTCTCTTTAACAATTGTACCAATGAACTATTTGCACTATGTGGCGGTTCCACGATCGCATTTCAACGATCTTGTGGTCAGCGAAGTCGGGAGTTTTTGTTAAGGTAGACCAGGGTGGTCCAAATCATGTCATGCTGACACATTCCGTGCTGCCCACAGAACAATTTTAACGTATATTGTATCTAATAGCAGAACGCTATTGAGTTTTTTTTAGCTATTGCAACTGGGGTTGGGATATAGAGATTCGAACCCTTTTTTCTAACGCTTTGTGCCTTAGGCAGAGCCGACTTACCTAACGCCGCGCAATCCAGTTTTTATTATTTAGCTAGGTCCCGAAATACCAACTTAGACCAACTTAGACCAACTTAGACCAACTTAGTCATAACAAACGGAAACCCAACTAAATCAAATGAAATAAATATAAACACAGTGGAATCAACTCAGCCAAACTTGACTAGAACCAAACGAAAGAGAAATAGACGTTTCAATAGAAAGAGGAAAAGACGAAACAAAGGAGAGATCGCGACAGTGACCTCAACTTTGTACAATCTGTCCAATGTCCATCTAACTGAGTCACAACGAAAAGTCCTAAAAAAAGGCCTTGGCTTTAGTCCTACTCCCGACAGATTCGATAACTTTCAACTGCAAACAGACATTAATAAAACAATTCGCAACTACCGCTTGAAAGAATACTTTTTTGATCCATTCTCCAGTCAAACCATCAGCGAAGTAGCTGAAACATATCCGAAATCCCTACGTGTTCCAAGTAGATGGACACCGCCTACAGGGAGAAATTCTGACTTAGATCACTTCGCTAACACTCTAAAACGGGAAATCCAGAAAACGACATCAAAGAAACGTACATTTTCCAATCTCAAAAAAGACGAAGTCGAGGCCTTGAGGGAACTAGAACAAAGAGCAGCAAGGGATATCATCATAGTACCTGCGGATAAAGGCGGGGGAACTTGCATACTCTCCCGAACTGACTACATCACAGAAGGTATGCGGCATCTATCGGATAACTTGGTATACAAGTGCATTCCAAAAGACATATCTATACAAATTGGCAACAAAGTAACCAAATTATGTCATAATATGAGGGAAGCCGACATTATTGATGACATACTATTCAAAGGGATAACTCCAAAAAGACCTAAACCAGGTCGTTTACGTTTACAACCAAAAGTGCATAAGAAAAATCACCCCAGTCGGCCAATCATATCAACAAACGGAACTGCAACGGAAAAATTATCAGCTTTCATAGATTACAAATTAACTAACCTCATGTGCAAAGAGGTAATACCATCATATGTCAGAGACAGTATGGATTTTCTGAATATTCTGAAAAAATTGACAATATTCCGCCAGGATCTTATTTGGTAACCATGGACGTGACTTCCTTGTATACAAATATTCCACATAAAGATGGCATCTTAGCGGTGGAGAAGTATCTCAGTAAATATACCACAGAAAAACGGGAAATTCCATATATTAAAGAAGCAGTTAATATGGTTCTTGATAATAATAATTTTGTATTTGACGGAAAGCATTATCTCCAAATCAATGGGACAGCGATGGGAACTAAGATGGCTCCCAAATATGCAAACATATTTATGGCAGACTTAGAGTCTGAGATTCTAGAAACAGCCAAGATTAGGCCACAATACTACTATAGATACATCGATGACTGTTTTCTGATCTGGACACACGGCGAAACCGAGCTTATATCTTTTATAAACCATGCGAATTCAATACACCCTTCTATCAAGTTCACATTCGAATACTCAACGGAAAACATTACATTTTTAGACGTAAAAGTCCATATCATGGACAACAAATTGGAAACGGAAATTTACACTAAAGACACGGACTCTCACCAATATCTTTTACCCTCCTCATGCCACCCCAAACATATTACTGCAAACATTCCAAAGGGACTCTTCATAAGAATAAGAAGATCGTGCTCAAATGTCGAATTTTTTGACAAACATGCAGGAATTATGAAACGCTATCTCATGCAACGAAATTACGAAGAGACTTCTATTGACAAAACAATAAAATTGGTAAAAGAAATGAACAGAGATTACCTTTTAACACCGAAAAGTACAAAACAAGGTCAGCAACTATTGCCATTTATTACCAACTACCACCCAAACCAACCGCACTTTAGAAAAATATTTTCGGACTACCAATATATTCTTGACAACAATGCACGACTAAAAGAGATTTTCCCTCAACCTCCGAAAATTGCATATAGAAAGTGCCCTACATTACGCGATAGACTGGTTAGAGCTAAACTACAACCAGTAATATCACAGAAAGTACAATCTGGTTTTTATAAATGTAATAGAAAAGCATGCACCACCTGTAAATATTCCGAAGAAACAAAAATAAGTACCGGGAACGTGACGGGAGTCCATACAAACATTAACGAAAGAATAAGTTGTAAATCAAAAAATGTTATTTATCTAATAAACTGTAAGAAATGTGCGATGCAGTATATCGGCGAGACTGGAAGGTCGTTAAAATATCGTATAACAGAACATCTGAGAAGTATTACGAAAAGGAAATATGATTTAGTAGTGGGAGAACACTTCAACAAACTGGGACATTCAATAAGTGACTTTTCAGTAACTGGAATAAAAAAACTATTCAGAGACCAGGGCTATCGCCAAACAGTAGAAGCATACTACATCAACAAATTCGGAACATTGGAACCACAAGGACTCAATTCACGGGAGAAATAGACTGTAGACTCATCTAGGAATTATTATTTAATAATAATTTTCATTTCAACGTCATATAATATTTAAATTTAACAATCACTCTTTTTCTTAAGTTTATATTATTACTCGCCCCTTGATTGGCGTTTTATTTTACTATTATTTTCAAGTGTCCCAAGTTTAATTTTAATTATAATTCGAAACCTTGGAGTTATGTGCTTGCGATATTTTTTTAATTTTTTATTTTTATTTTTTGTCCTACTCGAAATATGCTAGATGGTTAATTTATTAAATGTTTATGCATTGTTACGTCATACTTGATTTGATATTTCAAATTCATTTAGCAAATTTATTTCTTGCCATTGTTGTAAACTGCTTGTCTGAGGAAGTCTGACTCTGGTCGGACGAAACGTTACAGAAATACATTTGTGTTAGTGTGCAGCTGGACTCTTTAATTGAATAGAATAGTCATGTTTATTCCAGCTACAGTATCCTTGCAGTATACGCATACGGATCCACTAGCATAAAGGCATAGAGAAAAGATAGGAAGTTAGTCTCGCGCAACCCAACTCAAATTTATGTTATTGTATTCGTGGGACTTCTGTATCCATAATGGATCCTTCTAACTCTGGACTCGACAACGATTGCAAGAAAGAAATATACAAATACCACAAGAAAGAATTCAACAACTTGAGAAAAATTACACTGAAAGAAGCCCGACTCCATCACCATAAGCTAAACCTAGAGCAATTTGTTGTAACTGGAAAATGTCCGAAAGGACTCGAATTCACTCCGAAAACTTGTGCCGCCCCGCTGAAAAACTTGACCAAATGGCAAAATTTACATAAAGAATTTTCAAAACAATTGACGAAGCAAGCTCTTAAGGAATGTCGTTCAAGTTTAAATGAGATAACTAATACCAGGTTAGAAATAGAAAATAAACTAAGAGCAAAAATAAAAGCAGATATCTGGAATGCCATCCGACTTATGATAGATATTTCTAGAACAAATCTAACGGCAAAACTTAAAAGAACAAGGATGAGAAAAATGAGGAATACAGTCATAACAAACGGAAACCCAACTAAATCAAATGAAATAAATATAAACACAGTGGAATCAACTCAGCCAAACTTGACTAGAACCAAACGAAAGAGAAATAGACGTTTCAATAGAAAGAGGAAAAGACGAAACAAAGGAGAGATCGCGACAGTGACCTCAACTTTGTACAATCTGTCCAATGTCCATCTAACTGAGTCACAACGAAAAGTCCTAAAAAAAGGCCTTGGCTTTAGTCCTACTCCCGACAGATTCGATAACTTTCAACTGCAAACAGACATTAATAAAACAATTCGCAACTACCGCTTGAAAGAATACTTTTTTGATCCATTCTCCAGTCAAACCATCAGCGAAGTAGCTGAAACATATCCGAAATCCCTACGTGTTCCAAGTAGATGGACACCGCCTACAGGGAGAAATTCTGACTTAGATCACTTCGCTAACACTCTAAAACGGGAAATCCAGAAAACGACATCAAAGAAACGTACATTTTCCAATCTCAAAAAAGACGAAGTCGAGGCCTTGAGGGAACTAGAACAAAGAGCAGCAAGGGATATCATCATAGTACCTGCGGATAAAGGCGGGGGAACTTGCATACTCTCCCGAACTGACTACATCACAGAAGGTATGCGGCATCTATCGGATAACTTGGTATACAAGTGCATTCCAAAAGACATATCTATACAAATTGGCAACAAAGTAACCAAATTATGTCATAATATGAGGGAAGCCGACATTATTGATGACATACTATTCAAAGGGATAACTCCAAAAAGACCTAAACCAGGTCGTTTACGTTTACAACCAAAAGTGCATAAGAAAAATCACCCCAGTCGGCCAATCATATCAACAAACGGAACTGCAACGGAAAAATTATCAGCTTTCATAGATTACAAATTAACTAACCTCATGTGCAAAGAGGTAATACCATCATATGTCAGAGACAGTATGGATTTTCTGAATATTCTGAAAAAAATTGACAATATTCCGCCAGGATCTTATTTGGTAACCATGGACGTGACTTCCTTGTATACAAATATTCCACATAAAGATGGCATCTTAGCGGTGGAGAAGTATCTCAGTAAATATACCACAGAAAAACGGGAAATTCCATATATTAAAGAAGCAGTTAATATGGTTCTTGATAATAATAATTTTGTATTTGACGGAAAGCATTATCTCCAAATCAATGGGACAGCGATGGGAACTAAGATGGCTCCCAAATATGCAAACATATTTATGGCAGACTTAGAGTCTGAGATTCTAGAAACAGCCAAGATTAGGCCACAATACTACTATAGATACATCGATGACTGTTTTCTGATCTGGACACACGGCGAAACCGAGCTTATATCTTTTATAAACCATGCGAATTCAATACACCCTTCTATCAAGTTCACATTCGAATACTCAACGGAAAACATTACATTTTTAGACGTAAAAGTCCATATCATGGACAACAAATTGGAAACGGAAATTTACACTAAAGACACGGACTCTCACCAATATCTTTTACCCTCCTCATGCCACCCCAAACATATTACTGCAAACATTCCAAAGGGACTCTTCATAAGAATAAGAAGATCGTGCTCAAATGTCGAATTTTTTGACAAACATGCAGGAATTATGAAACGCTATCTCATGCAACGAAATTACGAAGAGACTTCTATTGACAAAACAATAAAATTGGTAAAAGAAATGAACAGAGATTACCTTTTAACACCGAAAAGTACAAAACAAGGTCAGCAACTATTGCCATTTATTACCAACTACCACCCAAACCAACCGCACTTTAGAAAAATATTTTCGGACTACCAATATATTCTTGACAACAATGCACGACTAAAAGAGATTTTCCCTCAACCTCCGAAAATTGCATATAGAAAGTGCCCTACATTACGCGATAGACTGGTTAGAGCTAAACTACAACCAGTAATATCACAGAAAGTACAATCTGGTTTTTATAAATGTAATAGAAAAGCATGCACCACCTGTAAATATTCCGAAGAAACAAAAATAAGTACCGGGAACGTGACGGGAGTCCATATAAACATTAACGAAAGAATAAGTTGTAAATCAAAAAATGTTATTTATCTAATAAACTGTAAGAAATGTGCGATGCAGTATATCGGCGAGACTGGAAGGTCGTTAAAATATCGTATAACAGAACATCTGAGAAGTATTACGAAAAGGAAATATGATTTAGTAGTGGGAGAACACTTCAACAAACTGGGACATTCAATAAGTGACTTTTCAGTAACTGGAATAAAAAAACTATTCAGAGACCAGGGCTATCGCCAAACAGTAGAAGCATACTACATCAACAAATTCGGAACATTGGAACCACAAGGACTCAATTCACGGGAGAAATAGACTGTAGACTCATCTAGGAATTATTATTTAATAATAATTTTCATTTCAACGTCATATAATATTTAAATTTAACAATCACTCTTTTTCTTAAGTTTATATTATTACTCGCCCCTTGATTGGCGTTTTATTTTACTATTATTTTCAAGTGTCCCAAGTTTAATTTTAATTATAATTCGAAACCTTGGAGTTATGTGCTTGCGATATTTTTTTAATTTTTTATTTTTATTTTTTGTCCTACTCGAAATATACTAGATGGTTAATTTATTAAATGTTTATGCATTGTTACGTCATACTTGATTTGATATTTCAAATTCATTTAGCAAATTTATTTCTTGCCATTGTTGTAAACTGCTTGTCTGAGGAAGTCTGACTCTGGTCGGACGAAACGTTACAGAAATACATTTGTGTTAGTGTGCAGCTGGACTCTTTAATTGAATAGAATAGACGGACCTGGTTGTTATTTGACGATAGCACTAAGCTTGCTCACGCTGCAAGTTTTTAAATTACTCAAATATAACAATTTGTAATAAAATGAGTGACATAAGGAAAATACGGCGGAAACCATGTCCTTGCCCCTCACACAGTGTCTGGTTTGATATCAGGTAATATTTGTCACGGAAGAATATAATTTGAAGCGACATTAAACGCGAGATGCGGAAAATACAACGGTAGTTCCCGGGAATTAATTTTGAAATAGCTGAAGGCTTTATATATCTTTTTTAAAAGAACGACACCAATGCAACATAATATTAGTATGATTGGAACGGTTAACTCTCGTTAAATTTAAAGTTAAAGTAAGTAAACTCGGGATATTTCGATCACTTTTGGGTTTTCTCCGACTTGCGGCCCGCGAGGCCTTCTCAAAAGTTGTTGCGATCCTTCAACCTTGAACCACACTGAGGTAGATTACTAGGTACCGGTAAAATTTCAAACTACAGTTGTGACTTATATCGTTTGGTATTGCAATTTACGTTGAGACTGGGGGCGGGAATTTTTATTGTCACACTTTATATCGGCTACATTTAACAGTTAAAAAACCCAAAAATGTTCATAAAAGTCGTTTTTTTTACTGTTTGTTGTGATTATTTTTAATGGATAATAACTTACTTTTGTGGTTTATTGTTTTTTTATAATTAAATTACACATAAGTAGGCACCAAAGTCTTCAGTGCTTAGGTACCAAAGGGGCATATTCCGCCCCTGCACCCACTGTACCTTGTTCCTGACTACCTTCCTGTGTTTTTGGCTACAATGTCTGACCCTGGCCTGTATGATGTATGCCTGTATGATGCACATGGAATACATCCGACCAAGAGTGTAAAATCTTCCAACATCAATATATATATATATATATGTTTGTTGTATATTATTACTAAAAGTTTGTAAGGAAGGGATAGAATTTACATATTCATCCCGCGGGGTGATGAAAGCCGAAAGGACGGCGTAATCAAACCTGAGTACCACGCCCTCTTGCCAGGTTACCAGTCCGTGTCGGTTATGAGATTAGTAAATCGGTTATGCTGTCCAGTTAGTCTAGTTATCAAACATGGAATCATTTATTGATGCAAACCAGTGATTTTGATTTTTTTTTATTGGTGAAGCATAACCCCAATGGAACAATTAGGAAGCCCGGGAAATCTAATAGTGCGTGCGATTGTTTGAATGGTAGGCTACATAAATCAAATCTAATACTGGAGACACAAAATGATTTTTATCCAAGCGTCGCAAGTTTTATAATAGTGGCAAATCTAATAGGATTACGAGTTGGGTTGCGCGAGACTAACTTACTATACTTCCAACATGTTGTTGGCTATAAGTCGAGTATATCATGTATTTTTATATATAGTCTTTTTTGGCAGTTTAGTGTGGTGGCCTGTAACTTTGCTCAGAGATCGGTCTCTTTTATTTCTGAGTGAGTGCGCGTGATGTCACCAAATTAGGCTTTTTCAGCTCATTGGACACTGAGTGTACATATGGATTGTTACAAGTCAGTGTCTTAAACAGTGGCGGCGCGTGGTCATTTTGACAACCGGGGCAAGCTACTGCGGGACCAAGCCACCCCCATCTACGGGGACAGGATGAGCGCTGTAAGTTCTCCCATCATTTTATGAGTATAAAAACCATTCCATCGGTAACAACCAATCGGCAAAAGCGACAATTTTTAACGATAAGAAAGTGTCTTTAAAACCGGTCCAAGTCAAGGGATTAATAAATATAGACATAGTTTATTTTGAAACCTCTTTCAAAAGGAAAGGCAATATTTACCCAGATAAATACAATGACATATTAACAGAAACTTCGGGAAAGCCGACAAAACCTAAAATAAGGTTTAAAACGTTACTATGAAGAAAGGAAAGTAATGCAAAGATAAGGACATGCGTCGCTCACTCATAGATATATATGCTGCTAGACTTCTACTGCTTGAACATATATGCAACACGCCGCGGTTTCTTGGAAGCAAAATGCTCAATAACGCGCTGATTAAAGTCATGCATCCCAGAAATAACGTCTCTGTGAATGGATAAAACAGCCAAGGAATTTAATCTATCTTGCTTCATTGTGTTTCTGAGATACGTTTTAATACGCTTCAGCGTGCTGAATGTTCGCTCTGCGTCGGCGGAAGAAATAGGCGTCGTCAAAATGATGTCCAGAAATTTTGCAGACGCCGCAAAGGTAGTTACTAGAGTCTATGAGGAACCCATAGAGCGCGCAAGTTGATGTGATGTATAAAAAAGTTTGATTGGTGTATATACATCGCAATTCATTTTCAAATTTCCCCACGTTTATCATGGGGTAAAATTTGGAGACAGTAGCCATAAATCGATGGGAAATTGACGTGCAAATTTGAAAAAATTTTTGGGGTTCATCAAAGAGAACGCGGTAAGGTGTTCAGTGCGCAGACGATCGCCTATTTGATTCACCAGAATGTCACAGCATTCCTTTGCAGACAAAATCAAACGCTGCGTTGTTTGCCCGTGGCGTAAAGAAGCACTCCATGTGTCGTCGTATTTTATTGTTTCCCGGATACGAGATACAGCATCGCAGAAGTCTGAAATACACGACTGCACAGACGCTCCATCCATTAGCCTTGACTGCAATGCGCCGTATAATACATCCACGTGATAGAATATTGTGGAGAAAAAAGCGAGAAAAAAATGAAAACTCACCATCTTCTAGCAGACGCTTTAGACCTGCCGCCTCCCTCACAGAGCGTTCGTCCCAAACCGGAGAGCTCTGATTGCCATTGAAACACTCAATGAGCTCAGACCTAATTTCGGACACGCCCTGCACCACGCGTGATTGGAAGTTCCAACGTGTTGGTGCACAAGCTGGGAGACGGCGGCTACATATCTGGCGAAGGAGGTCAGAGCGCTTCGGCGAAACGGAAAAAAATGAAGAAAACCCCGAAACATTTGCAAAAAATATACGGACGAGAGGGGCATCAAGACACATATTTTTAATAACGAGGTTAAATTGGTGTGCATAACAATGTAAAAAATGCGCATGAGGAAAATCTTCTTTTATATAAACTTGAACACCATGTTTCGACCCACTCATGACTGACGCGCCGTCATAAGTTTGAGCTATCAATTTTGACTTCGCGTTGTAAGGCTGTAACACTTCTTTCAGTACAGCCGATATCCCGCATGCCGTGCGATCAACGATTGGTACAAAGCTGTGAAATCTCTCGGTAGGTTTACCATCTTTCACAAACCGAAAAATCACAGCCAGTTGGGAAACGCACGTGATGTCAGTTGTCTCGTCAGACTGAATCGAAAGGAACTGGCAATTCTCAATTTCCAGAGCCAAATGTTGTAAATAAATTTTATACATTGAGTCGAGCAAATCATTTTGAATATCCTTAGATGTCCCTTTCGAAACAGTTGCGGCATCAAGATGATCTCTCAATACTGTATCTAGGGATGCGGTGTATTCCGCCATATCCAAAAATACCCCTCTATTAAAAGAGCCAGCCCGTTCATCGTGCCCACGGAGGGACAGCTCGTGACAACCAATTAACTTCAAAACATCTATCAATCGACCGAGAACATGGCGGTTTTTCTCGAAGTTTTGGTTGTGCCGACGAATAGAAACCGCGCGTCCTTCATCCAACTGTGCTGCAATATTAACATTTCCGAATGTTCGGTATTTTACTGCATTGTCCAGATGCTCCATAGAAGATTGATGGTCCCTGGCACGCTCGGAAAGATGTTTAAGATCTCTAAAACCAAATTTACACCAACGTGAGTCACGGGCGGTAGCAAAAAGTAGGCAATAAAAACAAAAAAGTGCATTTTTGTCCTCGCTGTAACACAACAATTCGTGTTTTTTATACCAAGGTTCTGCGCAGAATGTACGCGACGCTTTCCTCCATCATGGGATTGTTCCTGTGAACAATTTTTTGGTTGATAAGGCCCAAGACGTACCTCTAATTTTTGTTCCAGCGGCAGCTGCGAAAACGGAGTGCGAAGTAGTGCATCAACCTTATTCATTATGAGGTCTAAGGCTAAGAAATGCGAAGCCGGAAAGAAGTGAGGAGCTCAAAAGAAATGTGGAAAATCGAAAGCAAATGGACTAAAGGTCTCTAACTGATTCAAATAGCGAAACAAGCGACAAAAACGAAGGCGAGGAAACTATCAACTCTTCAAGCAACCAACGAACGAGAGGGAATGCGTGAATATGTCAACACGTTGTTGTAAGAAACGTCGGCATTGTGTCGTCATAATTTCGGGGCTAGCCCCGATTGGCCCCGATGATTTAGTAAAAGAAACAGAAAACAAACGAGACAAACGCGGCGAGTGGAATATAAAAGAGAGAATCCAGATACAATGAGCAACCGGGGCAAAATCGGCGTCGCCCCGTCGACGTTCGGCGAAGGCTTTGCGAGCGAAAAATGAACCATGTCGGGAGAATATGGCTAGTGTAGACAGTCTGTGCAACCGATATTGAGGTATTTTTCGAATATTTTTTATTATACCGAAAAAACAACCGGGGCATTGCCCCGGTTGGCCCTATTGACGCGCCGCCACTGACAGTGGCGGCGCGTGGTCATTTTGACAACCTGGGCAAGCTACTGCGGGACCAAGTCACCCCCATCTACGGGGACAGGATGAGCGCTGTAAGTTCTCCCATCATTTTATGAGTATAAAAACCATTCCATCGGTAACAACCAATCGGCAAAAGCGACAATTTTTAACGATAAGAAAGTGTCTTTAAAAC